ACTGTCACAGCCCCGAGCTGTCAGTGAATGTGTGCAAATCAGCATCCCGCACAGCACAGGGACATATTATGAATGTTAAGCACTTATCATCCTAATATATTTCTAATTTGATATTTATTTTTATGATTCTGGCAAGTTACTGAACGTGCCACACGTTCTCCGTCTGCTCCTCTCCACCTGATATTCAGCCACAGCACACCTCCTGTTTAGAACTCCACGCCTCGCACTTGCACTAGTGCTGAGATTGGGGGCAAGATCGGGCCCTAAGTCTCCCAGGCTTTATGAGAACTATAGAGGGGTACAGTCTGGTATCTGGACACAAACTGAACAAAACTAAACAAAATAAATGTGAAGCTATGAGTTATGGCAAACCAAATGCAGAGGAAATAAAGCAGAAATCCCCATGGCAATGGGACAAGGAAAAAATAAAATACTTGGGAGTACAGATTCCAAAAGCTGTAAATCAGATCTATAATCAAAATTCTAATAACTCAGAGCTTTGATGAAAGAGGACTTTAACCCTAACAGGAGAGTTTAATAAAATTAGAATGAATTTACTCCCAAAATTTCTTTTTCTCTTGAAAGCATTGCCATTGTATATCGAACCATCAACATTGTAGAGATGGGATCAGATGTACTTAAAGTAGCCATGAATATGGGAGAATTTATTTGCAAAATTACTGCTACACATCTCAAATCCTTGCAATACATCAATGGCAGAATAATTGTGAACAAACAAAACAGAGAATCATTCAGATTGCAGGGCTTAATGCTCAATTTGTTTTTTTTGTGAAATCCAAATTGTTTGCGAGATTGTTCACATTTGCAGTTAAATGCGACTTGTATGTGATCTCCAGTGTAAACTTTAAACACCGCAAGTGTCTCGCATGAGCATTGCAGGACACATCACACGCAGGGAGCGTGCTCAGTGTTTATGGAAGTGGCCTTAAACACTGGCCTTGTCTCCCAAAATTCGGTCCAGTTCTTGGTAAAATGGACAGTATACACATCCACGGCCGCTTCGTTTGTTTGAGTCTTTATCCTTCTTGTATTTGGCTCGCAGACCCGTTATTTTTCGTGGCTACAGGTGGTCCTGGCTCGTGCTCGGACATTTCTTTGGCAATCATTTTAAAAAACACCCGTTCCAATAAGACACCTCCAATTTGTCCTGAATACAGCGACCCCCCCAAATATGAACGCACTCTCTAACCTCGCTTTCCCTCCATTGACGAGACTCCAAGCCTGACGTGCAGGTGGGATGAATGTGACCTGACTGTTCAGACTGAAGTCACATGTCAGAAGATCGGATATGTATTAGGTTTAGGAGCACATATTCAAGTGAAAAATCAGATCTGTGTCGTGTAGACTGTGAATTGGAGAATGAACTTCCTAAATTAAAAGAAATGTGAGGGGATCCAGATTTTCATCCAAACCTGACTGGTAGTACCTTTAAAATGTGGAATCAGAAGTGTTTAAAAACATTTGCACAACTCACAGATGAATAAGGAATAATTATTTTTGAAGTAATAAAGGGAAAATATGATCTCCCACACTCCCACTTTTTTAGGTATCTGCAAGTCAGAAGTTACAGAGAGAAAAGTGTAGAACAATGAAGAAGAACACAGAACTGGTAAAAAATAAGTATAACAGAAAATGACAGCCTCTCAGTCTGGAGAGAATTTGCATCGAAATGTCAAATGAAATATTTTAATACCAATTTAACAAAGTATGATGAAAAATTTTCATCATCAGTGTGCCGGGGTATTGTGGGAAAAGTTCAGCAAATTATTGCCATATCTTCTGGTCATACCCACTTTTAAAAACATTCTGGGAAAATATACGAAACAAAATTACATTGTATAATAGACAAAACGGTCCCAGGGTCAGAAGCCCCATATGACGAGCAACATACAAAGGCCAGTGACGTCGCCTGGATTGGCGGTACTGGGGCCCCACCTCAGAGCCAGGCCTGGGGTGGGGGCTCCACCTTCCCCCTTAACCCACGCTGCCGGCCGGGATCAGCCCGAAGGAGCGACGCGGGGCCGTCCTGGTCCAGTCCTGGTGTAGTTCTGGCGATGGGTTCAGCAGCTGTGGCGTGTGAATATTTATAATCCACCAAAGACACGGCGTAGATTTTCTTGTTCTGGTGTTTGTGGCTCTTCTCCCCGGTGTGGCTCTTTTATTGTTCTGGTGTTTGTGGCTCTAAACGAACGAGAATTCCACCCACACTCCGAATTTACAAACGGTTTATCCTCAGCATGTTACGCATCCATGCATGTCGACCAATGCACCGACCCCGTAGTGATGCATACGATTTAACTAAAACATGGGAACGAAATAGTTATATGAGGCCACGATTTAGTATATTTTTTCACGTACGTCAGCAAGCGGGCTCCCTTAAAAAGTATGACTACATGTCCCACTTTCTCAGATCATTTAGTCATTGTGGCTGTTATGTTGGTATCCATATGAACATTTTTTTATGTAGGTTTGTCCCTGCATTAAAAAGATAATAATAATAATTGAGCAAACAATGGTGTACTTTTAGTATTTTTAGTGTTCAAATGTTGAAAAGATTGCAGCGTTTGCTTTGCAGAGGTGGTGTCTTTATTGGTTGAAAGTTCCATGTTGTAAGTGGGCAGAGGTTGTGCTTATGACACTCATAGTGTCTGTGAGGGAAGCTGATCAAGAGCAAAGTTATAAGAGAAAATGTTGTTTTCGTTTACATCCGGCTTTTCTGCACGTGCGCAGTGGCTGGTAGGCAAAAAGTCAGTGGGGCCACTTGTTTGTGTTGACAGTTGTCATGAGATAACTCATCTTATTTTGAAGTAGGTTTTACGTTTAATTGTTCTGACATGACTTAATCATCTTACTCTAAGTCACTGAATGTTGAGGATCAAAAACGTTACTTTGAAAAGTTAAAACTCTGTGATAACTGTTGACGATGTTGATGTTTACTTGTTGATATGGACACTTTTTGCTTACTGACCCAGACGTGACTCCATCGTGTTTTCTCGTATTGCAAGCATTTTATACAAAAAGACATGGGAAAAAGTGTGCAGATAACCTGAAGGACCACAGGGATCAGCAGCTGAAGACCCCAGGGGCCTTTGGTTGTGTCATGGGTAACGTCTTTAAGTGTAAAACACAACATCATATGAGATCTGGTGAGGATAATTTCATGCCATAGTTTAGCATAAATAATCACAACTAAAATGAGAGAATAATTACTTCTAGTTTAAATGCAAGTCAAAAACTGCGTTAGTATTTGTGAAATCTGGTGCAATTCTACAGATACATGATTTTTTTATGCACAGAAGGTTAGCAATAAAGTACACAGGAGGAGGACAGATTTTATGGATAATATGAATGAAAATACTGCAGTTTAACTTTATGAGAGGTGAGTAATAAAGTCAAAGGTATGTCCTGATCTGATACTGGTATCGGCCGCCAATCTAAGCATGTTACAAGTATCGGCTTGGATCAGATTTGAATAGATTGGGCCTATACAGAGTAGAGAGCCTTCTGCACAGAGCTGTCACTGCCAACACTGCAGCTAATGCCCAGAACAGCTTAAACACACACTGAGGAAGGTTTACAGCTGCTAAAAACATTAATGACAAAGATTGAGTTTGTTTTAAATACAAAACTTTGGATAAATCGGAGGAGCAGAGTTGAATGTAGTAGCTTGTTTACATATGTTAAGGAGCTTTGTGCTTAGGCAGGCCTTTCGTCTTTTAACAGGCCTCAGGCATAGTCTCTATATATGAGTGGACATAGTTAACGCTGTAGCCGCCGTGTGCCAAATAGGAAGTTCTCCAGGAGGCTCTTCCGGCTCCTTCTGACTCTGGCTCCATTTGACTCACATTAGGATCTTGTGGCTCCTCTCTCTGTACCTGCTGCTGTGAGCCTCGTCATTTTGGTCTTAAAATGTTAATATTAATGCGCTCTACATGAGAATTTTTTTTTTTTTTTCGCTATTTTGTCCATCAAAAAATCCAATTCATAACATAGAGTCTGGCTCCAGATTGGCTCCTGTAACCGTGAGCATTGTGAGCCTCATTTGAGCGTCGCTGAACACTGTGGATGATGTCACACTCACTTAGTCCACTTCTTTATACAGTCTATGGCCTCAGGTCTAATTTCTCTGTCACTGTGTTCTGAAGCTCCTGTATTGTGGAGGAGTTAAATACATTATTTTGCAATATTATATGATATTAATTATTAAATATATATTTTAAGTAGGTACGCACACGAGGAGTGCAGAAGCTTCAAAATTACACACAAAGACGCAAAGAAAACTGCAGCCTAAATGGGGCAAGTTCTCCACCTGTTGTGTGGTGGTTTTTAGTCAAGCATTTTAGGAAAAATAGGCAAAAACACACAAAAACATGATGAACTGATTGGTACTGTTGTCACCGTGCATGTGTGTGGGCGATCTGTTTAGCATTCCCAGTGCTGTTGGAGAGTTAAAATGAGAAATATTGGGACCTGTCTGTGGTGAGTAGGTAGGTAGTAGTGAGTAGTGGTGCAGTAGGCATTTTGATGGTCATGGTAAGCATGTAGCTAAGCATGTGGGCCTTACTAAACCAATAAAAATATATTTTTAAATCACAGTTGTTTACCACGGGCCTGACCTGGAAAGAAAAACTGAGAAACAAAAGAAACTGTTCTGGTTTTTAATGGCTCTTGGAACTCAAGACACTTCCTGTTCTACTGTTGCCCTCAATTAAGACAATAATATGAATGTAATGTGAATCATACGTATACACTGAAGTGAAAGATAAAACAATGCAGCGAGTACACTTCCCAAAATGTAACTTAACAAGTTTGACATCATTAAAGGTCCAAATATCCGTATCATCCCATAGCTGTTTACACCTCCAGTGTGGGAGGAGACACCAGGTGCATAATTGTGATAACAAGTAATTATTGATTACGTTGGTTGGTACATAATATCTGTCAACTTCAGGAATTTATATAAATACAAAGCCCAAGCACTCAGATCATCCTTAAGACACAAGACACTGGACTAGCAGGGGGAGCACGTTGAGGAATACTTGTTTATAATCACAGTAAGTACACAGTGCTCTTTGCTGGATTTGAGGAGAAATATACTGGAGGAATATATTTTCAAAATGTTTTTTGTGGTTTTGTGGGTTTGTCATTCAAATAGAATAACCAGAGAAAATATCTATATGTCTATATCTATCTATCTAAATAATAATAATAATAATATAATATTATTATTATTATTATTTTATTATTATTATTATTAGTAGTAGTAGTAGTAGTATAGTAGTAGAAGTAGTAGTAGTATTATTATAATTATAATAATTATTATTTTATTATTATTATTATTGTAATAATAATAATAATAATCCCTAATATGTATTTATATATTAGTGTGACAATTGACAATTCTGTTTTGTGACAAAAACATAATTTCTAAATAAGAAAATAAAACATAACGTTTCACTAAAAAACACTGCTTTAATGCGGTTAATTCTACATAGTTGCTGTCAGTGGATCTACACACATTTTTCATGGCAATGCATATTATTTGGCACCAAATTCTGCAAGATTTAAGAAGCTTAAGCAAATTATTGTTGTAGTGTGAAAAGGAAGAGTTCAGCAGAGTAGTAGGACTACATTGTAGTTGAAAAAATTAAATGTAGTCTTCATAAAACAGAGGACTCTGGGGGCTTCGGGAGATTTTTTTTAAAATAGAAGAGGTTCAAGGCACCTGACCCCTCTTAATTTTGCTCCTAAACTTTGGTCTAGATCAGCAAATATGAGTTTGCCAGCACCGGTCAAATACTGAGAGAAACTTGATCCATTTATCAGCTTATCAGTCTACATTTTTATGCAAATGACTGCCAGTTGTACGTGCCACTGAACTAGTCTGATACTCTTGTTGAGTGATGGATGAAGTCAAAGCATGTATGGCTTCCAACTTCCTGCACTTCAAAGAGTAAAAAAACAGAGGTAGTGCTGTTCTCTCTCAGTGATGCTGCTGTGGCTGCTCCTACAGAGTTGGGCTCCTTATCCTAGGCCGTGAGCCCAGGATTAACAAATTTAGGCATGAAAATGGGCTGTGGTTTTAAACTTGATGCCCAAATTAACTCTGTGATGAAGACCAGCTTTTTTTCTTTCTTTTTTTTTTTTTTTTGAGGCAACTGGCCTCCCTCGTTCTTCAGTCTCTGCAATGCACCTTTGCATTGATTTTTTAAATTAATTATTTGCTTTTAAATTCCTTCGTGGTATGGCCCCTCGGTGTCTGTCTGACCTGCCTGTACCTCACACCCCCTGTCATGCTCTCAGGTCAGCAGATCAGGCTCTCCTCCACGTCCCAAAGATCAGGAGAAAACAGAGAGGAGACTGTGCTTTTCCAATAGACCGACTGTCATTGCCTGTTTTTAAGTCCCTCCTAAAAACCCTGAAAACACTCTTAGCTCAGTTTGAGGGTTGACTCTTTCCCTGTCACTGTATTTGTCTCTGTTTGTTATGTGTCCCATCTAATTTGTGTACAGCACTTTGATCGACTGTGTTGTTTTTAAAGTGCCCTAGAAATAAAATTGGAAAAGTGAAATTGTGGAGAGTTTTCAGTTTGAATGGCTTCTGTTTTTGAGCCATTCAGCTGCTGAAAGTTCTGACAGAGAGGCCGGTGTGGTGCAGGAGACGGTAGAGGAGGACGTGATTGTCAATGGAAGTTGAGAGGAATGAGGCATAGAGTTTAAAAGCTCTTCCTGTCTTACCACATGAAATCACAAGTTGGAACATAGTGCATTTAGTTTTTGAGAAGAACTCAGCCTAAATATGCAGTGTTTGAGTGTTAAACGTGTGCATAAACCTAAACACAACTCCAGGTTCGTTTTTGATGGAAAAACATCATAAAATAGATCAGAAAAGAGGGTAATATGGGACCTTTGATCATTCGAGCACATGGTTTATGATTTGTTACTTATAGTCTATTAGACATAAACACCACCATCAACTCGTTCCCTTCTCTGTATTTATTTACTGTGATAATTTCTTCGACCAAAAGTCTCTGCTCCTTCTGACTCTCTCATGTTTGTGTGTCTGCGTCTTTCTGTCTTGTTCCCTCCTCTTGATAAAAATGTGTTCTCCTCTTCTATTTTTGCCACTAAAAAACGATAAGACTTAATCATCTCTTTACGAAGTCAAATGAGATGATGTAGTAAAAAAAGAGACAGGTGTGAATTACAAATGCATTTGATGAACACGCAAAAAGCCGAAAGTGGCTTTGTCAATCCTGACTCTACAAAGTAAAATTAAAATTGACTAAAAGACAAACCTCACCTGTGTTAAAATCTAGCAACAGTGAGCCTCTATAGAGCTGTTTACTTTGTCTAGTTGACAAATTTAAACAAAACTATTAGAAATAATGAGAATAGTGCCATTCCTAGTTCAGACTTCACTGGAGATATGAAACCCAAATAGATTATTACATTATTTGTTATATTTTGTGCAGGAAGAGTGATGGCATATTTAAAAGAAGTTAGAAAACAGCTGTTGCTAAGAGGGTTGCAGCCATGGATCTGTAATAAAAACATGGATGCAACTAATGTTTGTAGAGGTGGACTTTTCTTTTCTTTTCTTTTTTTAATGCGTCAAACAAATTGTAGGTTGACATAAAGGTTGGAAAATGGTAACTGAAGTCTCATAGATATAGAATATTCACAAATACGAAAAGTGTGTTGATTATGTTTTTCTATTTTGATTTAATAGACTGATTTAATCGTTGTTATAAATTCTTCTGGCACATGTTTTAGAGCAGGGGTCTTCAACCTTTTTCCTTCTGTGAGTTACCTTTTGTAAAACGAAAATGGGTATTAAGATAAGATAATAATTTTAGCGGTTGTCAGAAATTTTGTAAAGATAAGAGCCATGGTAACGCAAATATGAGGTACAGTTAGATATCTGTAAAACATAACCCATTATCCAGTTATCGGTGCACAAAATTAGGCATCAAAATGATACATTAGGCATTTAATCAATCAAATTTGAGTTATATAGTCAGCGCAATATATGTAATTAAGAAATTCCTGTGCGAACAACTTGGAAGGGATTGTAGAGCTACCGGTTGCTTCCGAGCTACAGTTTGGAGAGTCTGTATAGGCGAGTTTCAGCTGACGTCATTGTTATTAAAAGCCCGCGTTGCTGCTGGGAAATATTTTGGTCGGAGGCAAGAAACACGGTAGCGTCAAACACAGTGCGTAACCTCGCGTATTTATCCCCGATAATGGTAAATTCCTGCTGCATTATCGGATGCACAAATAGAAGCACGGAAGAAGGAAAATGTCTTTTTCGTATTCCGAGTGAAAAGAACCGCTCACGGTGAATTAAACGTCTTTCAAACATCCGCAGAGCAAACGTAGAAGATCCTAACAAACCGTGGACTCCAACAAGTTCAACAACACATAGAGACTCTTGGAGGTTTTCATCTTTTCTGCTGTGAATGGCCCAAGAGTTTCCACCAAGTCATTGTGGATATCGCCGAAGTGAATATTTGTCCAGGTAGTTGGCGATTCTGACCAGAAATTTGGTTTGGTCCAACTTTTGTCGGGGTTGAAAAGGGTGATTTGTCGTCCGTCAATGCTTATGACCAATTTCTGGTCAAATCTTCTTGGGTCCTCTGCCGTTAGAGTGGATAAATAACCGGAATCAATACCCTTTACGTGCTTTCTCGCTCCGTCCTTCATGTTGAATTAGTGTTTCTTACCGCCGACCAAAATAATTCCCAGCATGCAACGCGCGCTTTTGTCAACAATGAAACTCGCCTATAGATGTGATGATAATGATCCTGACATATCAACATAAAATTACAATTATTCATTTGCAAGATCACCAATTCTGTATGTCATCCTTGAGTAATAATTTAGCAAATTAAAACTATACATTATTTATCCATTCATTTGACATACATTGTAATTGGTTGTAATACATTTTATACTGTGCCCTGTCAAGAAATAACTGTAAAAACTAGGAGCTTATTCCAAATCATAAAAAAGATAAAATATCCAACAATTCCAAAATGCAATTACATGAAATTATTATTTAATTATTTGGCCTCTGAATGAATCCATTTTTAACAAAGCCGCCCTATGCTATTTTTTATCTTTTCAGTTTGGTTTCAAGTTTGTAAGTGGACAAGACTGCAAAAGACAGACAGACTCATAATTCACCATGATTATCAAGTTGCTTCTCCTGGTGTTACTACCAGTAGGTGAGTGGTCACGATTATAATTATTCTCTGTTCTATGGGACACTGTTGATTTGACACTGACTCTGACACTTTTATCATGCAACAGTATTGAACGCCCAATCTGGGAAAGGAGGTAAACCAGGAGAACCTACACCTACTCCAGGTCCGCTGTATCTAAGGTGTGCTGCATTCCCCAAGACGACAACTGGAGCTCCTCCAACTACAACTACAGCTCCTCCAACAACTACTACAACTACTCCAACAACTACAACTACTCCAACAACTACAACTACGCCAACAACTACTCCAACAACTACAACTACTCCAACAACTACAACTACTCCAACAACTACAACTACTCCAACAACTACAACTACTCCAACAACTACAACTACTCCAACAACTACAACTACTCCAACAACTACAACTACTCCAACAACTACAACTACTCCAACAACGACAACTACTCCAACAACGACAACTACTCCAACAACGACAACTACTCCAACAACTACAACTACGCCAACAACTACAACTACTCCAACAACTACAACTACGCCAACAACTACAACTACTCCAACAACTACAACTACTCCAACAACTACAACTAACCCAACACAACGACAACTACGCCAACAACTACAACTACTCCAACAACTACAACTACTCCAACAACTACAACTACTCCAACAACTACAACTACTCCAACAACGACAACTACTCCAACAACGACAACTACTCCAACAACTACAACTACGCCAACAACTACAACTACTCCAACAACTACAGCTACTCCAACAACTACAGCTACTCCAACAACGACAACTACTCCAACAACTACAACTACGCCAACAACTACAACTACTCCAACAACTACAATACTACAACAACTACACAACTACAACTCCAACAACTACAACTACAACTCCAACAACTACAACTACTACAACAACTACAACTACTACAACAACTACAACTACAACAACAACTACAACTACTAACAACTACCAACAACAACTACAACTACTACAACAACAACTACAACTACTCCAACAACTACAACTACTACAACAACTACAACTACTACAACAACAACTACAACTACAACTACAACAACTACAACTACTCCAACAACTACAACTACTCCAACAACTACAACTACTCCAACAACTACAACTACTCCAACAACTACAACTACTCCAACAACGACAACTAATCCAACAACTACAACTACGCCAACAACTACGCCAACAACTACAACTACTCCAACAACTACAACTAATCCAACAACTACAACTACGCCAACAACTACAACTAACTCCAACAACTACTCCAACAACTACAACTACTCCACACTACAACTACTCAACAACGACAACTACTCCAACAACGACAACTACTCCAACAACGACAACTACTCAACAACTACAACTACTCCAACAACTACAACTACTCCAACAACTACAACTACTCCAAACAACTACAACTACTCCAACAACGACAACTACTCCAACAACTACAACTAACTACCCAACAACTACAACTACTCCAACAACTACAACTACTCAACAACAACTACAACAACAACAACTACTCCAACAACTCCAACAACTACAAACTCCAACAACTACAACTACTCCAACAACTACAACTACCAACAACAACAACTACAACTACTACAACAACTACAACAACTACTCCAACAACTACAACTACGCCAACACTACAACAACTCCAACAACTACAAACTCCAACAACTACAACTACGCCAACAACTACAATACTCCAACAACTACAACTACTCCAACAACTACAACTACTCCAACAACTACTACAAACTACAACTAACTCCAACAACTACTCCAACAACTACTCCAACAACGACAACTACTCCAACAACTACAACTACTCCAACAACTACAACTACTCCAACAACTACAACTACTCCAACAACTACAACTACTCCAACAACTACAACTACTCCAACAACGACAACTACTCAACAACTACAACTACTCCAACACTACAACTACTCCAACAACGACAACTACTACTACAACTACTACAACTACAACAACTACAACTACTACAACAACTCCAAACAACTACAACTACTCCAACACAACGACAACTACTCCAACAACTACAACTACTCCAACAACTACAACAACTACTCCAACAACGACAACTACTAACAACAACTACTCCAACAACTACAAACTACTCACAACAACTACAACTACTCCAACAACTACAACTACTCCAACAACTACAACTACTACAACAACGACAACTACTACAACTACTCCAACAACTACAACTACGCCAACAACTACAACTACTCCAACAACTACAAGCTACTCCAACAACAAACAACTACAACTACTCCAACAACTACAACTAACTCCAACACAACTACAACTACTCCAACAACGACAACTACTCCAACAACAACTACAACTACTCCAACAACTACTCCAACAACTACAACTACTCCAACAACTACAACTACTCCAACAACAACAAACTACTCCAACAACTACAACTACTACAACTACAACAACAACAACTACTCCAACCAACTACAACTACTCCAACAACTACAACTACTCCAACAACTACAACTACTCAACAACACTACTTACAACAACTAACAACAACTACTCCAACAACTACAACAACTACTACTCCAACAACTACAACTACTCCAACAACTACAACTACTCCAACAACTACAACTACTCCAACAACAACTACAACTACTCCAACAACTACAACTACTCCAACAACTACAACTACTCCAACAACTACAACTACTCCAACAACTACAACTACTCCAACAACTACAACTACTCCAACAACAACTACTCCAACAACTACAACTACTCCAACAACTACAACTACTCCAACAACGACAACTACTCCAACAACAACTACTACAACTACTCCAACAACTACAACTACTCCAACAACTACAACTACTCCAAACAACTACAACTACTCCAACAACTACAACTACTCCAACAACTACAACTAACTCCAACAACGACAACTACTCAACAACTAACAACTACTACAACTAAACAACTACAACTACTCCAACAACGACAACTACTCCAACAACTACAACTACTCCAACAACTACAACTACTACTCCAACAACTCCAACAACACAACTACTCCAACAACTACAACTACTACCAACAACGACAACTACTCCAACTACAACAACTACAACAACTACACAACTACTCCAACAACTACTCCAACAACTACTCCAACAACGACAACTACTCCAACAACTACAACTACTCCAACAACTACAACTACTCCAAAAACTACTCCAACAATGACACCTACTCCAACAACTACAACTACTCCAACAACTACAACTACTCCAACAACTACAACTACTCCAACAACTACAACTACTCCAACAACTACAACTACTCCAACAACTACAACTACAACTACTCCAAACAACTACAACTACTCCAACACTACTACAACTACTCAACAACTACAACTACTCAAACAACTACAACTACTCCAACAACTACAACTACTCAACAACAACTCCAACAACTACAACTACTCCAACAACTACTACTCCAACAACGGCAACTACTCCAACAACTACAACTACTCCAACAACTACAACTACTCCAACAACGACAACTACTCCAACAACGACAACTACTCCAACAACGACAACTACTCCAACAACTACAACTACTCCAACAACGACAACTACTCCAACAACTACAACTACTCCAACAACTACTCCAACAACGACAACTACTCCAACAACTACAACTACTCCAACAACTACTCCAACAACGACAACTACTCCAACAACTACAACTACTCCAACAACTACAACTACTCCAACAACGACAACTACTCCAACAACTACAACTACTCCAACAACTACTCCAACAACGACAACTACTCCAACAACTACAACTACTCCAACAACTACTCCAACAACGACAACTACTCCAACAACTACAACCTACAACTACTACAACTACTCCAACAACGACAACTACTCAACAACAACTACAACTACTACAACTACTCCAACAACGACAACTACTCCAACAACTACAACAACTTACTCAACAACAACTACAACTACTCCAACAACTACAACTACTCAACAACAACTCCAACAACTAACAACTACAACTACTCCAACAACGACAACTACTCCAACAACAACTACTCCAACAACTCCAAACAACTACAACTACTCCAACAACTACAACTACTCCAACAACGACAACTACAACTACTCCAACAACTACAACTACTCCAACAACTAACAACTACTCAACAACGACAACTACTCCAACAACTACAACTACTCCAACAACTACTCCAACAACGACAACTACTCCAACAACGACAAACTACTCCAACCAACTACAACTACTCCACAACTACAACTACTCCAACAACTACAACTACTCCAACAACTACAGCTACTCCAACAACTACAACTACTCCAACAACTACAACTACTCCAACAACAACAACTACTCCAACAACGACAACTACTCCAACAACTACTCCAACAACTACAACTACTCCAACAACTACACCAACAACTACAACTACTCCAACAACGACAAATACTCCAACAACTACAACTACTCCAACAACTACAACTACAACTACTCCAACAACAACAACTACTCCAACAACGACAACTACTCCAACAACTACTCCAACAACTACAACTACTCCAACAACTACAGCTCCTCCAACAACTACAATGACTCCTCCAACAACTACAACTACTCCAACAAGTACAACTACAACTCCTCCAACAACTACCACGACTTCTCCGACAACTACAACTACAGTTCCTCCAACAACTACCACAACTCTTCCAACAACTACAAGTACAGCTCTTCCAACAACTACCACAACTCCTCTGACACCTACAACTACAGCTCCTCCAACAACTACAACTACAGCTCCTTCAACTACAACAACAGCTCCTCCAACAACTACCACAACTTCGCCGGCAAGTACAACTACAGCTCCTTCAACAACTACCACAACTCCTCCGCCAAATACAACTACAGCTCCTCCAACAACTACCCCAACTCCTCTGCTAACTACAACTACTCCAACAACTACAACTACAGCTCCTCCAACAACTACCATGACTCCTCCACCAACTACAACTACAGCTGTTCCAACTACCACAACTCCTCTGTCAACTACAAGTACAGTTCCTCCATCCATGACAACAACCATTCCTCTGCCAATTACAAATACAAATCTTCCAACTACCACAACTACAGCTACAACTACAGCTTCTCCAACTACCTCAAATACAGTTCCTCCAACGACCACAACCTCACGTCCTCCAACTACCATAACTACACCTCCTACTACCACAATTACAGCTCCTCCAACTACCACAACTACAGCTGCTCCAACTACCACAACAACTCCTATCCCAACAACTACTATAACTACAACAACTACAGCTGCCACAACTACGAAAATTACACCAACTACAAAAACAACTACAACTAAAGCACCAGTAATAGTACCGGGCAGAAGTGCAGCAGTAACAGCAGCTACAGCTACTGGTGTGGCATCAACAGCAGCAACAGCAGCAGCAACAGCTGCAGCGGCAGCAGCAGCAGCAGCTGCATCCACAACCAATAGAACCTTGGCTCAGCAAGCCTATAATGCATCTGTGGAAGCTCTCAAAGCTGCTCAAGAGGCAGCAAGACAGGCTCAGGCATTACTAAACGGAACAGGAACACTAACAGATACAATACAAGCAGCTCAGCTGGCATCACAGAAAGCACTTGAGGCATCCCAGGCAGCAGTGCAAGCATCACAGACAACCCCTGCATCACTGACCCAATATTCAGAAAATATTGTAAACGCATCTAAAAATGCATCAGAGGCAGCCCTTAAGGCAAATGAAGCAGCTACTATTTTGTCTTCTTTAACTCCTGAAAACCTACAAGCAGCAACTACAGCCATGAATGAGTCAGCAATAGCATCACAACAAGCAGCCAAGGCTATGTTAGCAGCTCTAGAACAAAATATTACTGCGCCACTTGACCCAATATTAAAAACATTTATAGTTGATGCAGCAAAGAATGCCGAAAATACTGCCAGTGCAACGCAAACTGCTGTTGAAAAGGCAGCAGAGTCTTTAACAGCAAACACTACAGAAGATGCACAAAAATTATCAAATGAGGCTTTTACATTGTTACAAAACATAATTAATTCAGCAAACAATGCAGCTGAAAATGCATTTAAAGCCATAACATACTTTCCTACCACAACATCACCTACGATAGCAACCACACCATCACCTACAATAACAACGACTCCACCACCTACAGAATCTCCTGTAGAGATGAAGGCAACTGCAGCTGCGGCAGGAGCAGCAGCAAATATAGCATCAAATGCTGCAGCAGCAGCGGCGGCCACAGCAGCCACAGTTGCATCAGCCTCCACTGGACCACTTGCTAACAACGCAAGGATCGCTGCAGAAGAAGCAATCAAGCCTGCTGAAGAGGCAGCGAGAATGGCAGAAGCAGTACTCAATGGGACCGCTTCACCAGAGGAAGCCATACAAGCAGCTCTAATTGCAGCACAAAAAGCACAGGAGGCGTCTTTAGCAGCAAAACAAGCAGCAGAGGCTCTCCCAGATTCAATGGCACCATTTAGGGAAAGAATTCTTCAAGCATCTGCCAATGCAACAGATTCAGCTCTCAAAGCAGCCCAGGCAGCAAACAATGTATCTACAATAACTCCTGAAAGTTTAAATGCAGCAGCTACAGCCATGAATGATTCAGCAATCTCAGCAGAAAAAGCCCTCACAGCGTTACTATCTGCAGTACAACAAAATATGACCGTACCCCTTGACCCCAAATTAGAAGGATTTCTGTCATCAACAGCTGAGAATGCCGCACAAACCGCAAACAAATCCATAACTGCAGTGGAAAAGGCAGCTGCCTCCTTAACAGCAAACACAACAGAAGAGGCAAACCGTCTGTCAAATGAAGCTATTAATTCAGTTAAAGATACCAATAATTCAACAAATCAAACCCTTGAGTCAGCTTCAAATATACTGTCAATGAAATCCCCTGCAGAGATAAGTGCAACAGCAACTGCGGCAGCAGCAGCAGCAAAGATAGCATCAAATGCTGCAGCAGCAGCGGCGGCCACAGCCGCCACAGTTGCATCAGCCTCCACTGGACCACTTGCTGACAAAGCACAGGTCGCTGCAGAAGAAGCAATCAAGGCTGCTGAAGAGGCAGCGAGAATGGCAGAAGCAGTACTCAATGGAACCGCTTCACCAGAGGAAGCCATACAAGCAGCTAAAATTGCAGCACAAAAAGCACAGGAGGCATCTTTGGCAGCAAAACAAGCAGCAGATGCTCTCCCAGATTCAATGGCACCTTTTAAGGAGGGAATTTTTCAAGCATCTGCCAATGTAACAGAAGCAGCTCAAAAAGCAACCCAGGCAGCAAACAATGCATCTACAATAACTCCTGAAAGTTTGAATGCAGCAGCTACAGCCATGAATGATTCAGCAATTGCAACAGAAAAAGCCTTCACCGCATTACTATCTGCAGTACAACAAAATACGACTGTACCCCTTGACCGCAATTTAGAAGGATTTGTGTCATCAGCAGCTGAGAATGCCGCACAAACTGCAAATAAATCCATAACTGCAGTGGAAAAGGCAGCTGCCTCCTTAACAGCAAACACAACAGAAGAGGCAAACCGTCTGTCAAATGAAGCTATTAATTCAGTTACAGATACCAATAATTCAACAAATCAAACCCTTGAATCAGCTTCAAATATACTGTCAATGAAATCCTCTGCAGAGATAAGTGCAACAGCAACTGCGGCAGCAGCAGCAGCAAAGATAGCATCAAATGCTGCAGCAGCAGCGGCGGCCACAGCAGCCACAGTTGCATCAGCCTCCACTGGACCACTTGCTAACAACGCAAGGATCGCTGCAGAAGAAGCAATCAAGGCTGCTGAAGAGGCAGCGAGAATGGCAGAAGCAGTACTCAATGGGACCGCTTCACCAGAGGAAGCCATACAAGCAGCTCTAATTGCAGCACAAAAAGCACAGGAGGCATCTTTGGCAGCAAAACAAGCAGCAGAGGCTCTCCCAGATTCAATGGCACCATTTAGAGAAAGAATTCTTCAAGCATCTGCCAATGCAACAGATTCAGCTCTCAAAGCATCCCAGGCAGCAGAAAATGTATCTACAATATCTCCCGAAAGTCTGAATGCAGCAGCTGCAGCCATGAATGAATCAGCAATCGCAGCACAAAAAGCCCTCACAGTGTTATTATCTGCAGTACAACAAAATATGACTGTACCCCTTGACCCCAAATTAGAAGGATTTGTGTCATCAGTAGCTGAGAATGCCGCACAAACCGCAAATAAATCCATAACTGCAGTGGAAAAGGCAGCTGCCTCCTTAACAGCAAACACAACAGAAGAGGCAAACCGTCTGTCAAATGAAGCTATTAATTCAGTTAGAGATGCCAATAATTCAACAAACCAAACCATTGAGTCTGCTGCAAACATATTATCAACAAAATCCTCTGCAGAGATAAGAGCTGCCAGAGCTGCAGCAGCAGCAGCAGCATCTGTAGCATCAAGTGCTGCAACAACTGCAGGAGCTACAGCAGCCACAGTCGCATCAGCCTCCACTGGACCACTTGCTGACAAAGCACAGGTCGCTGCAGCAGAAGCAGTCAAGGCTGCTGAAGACACAGCGAAAATTGCCGAAGCAGTACTCAATGGAACCGTTCCACCAGAGGAAGCCATACAAGCAGCTCAAATTGCAGCACAAAAAGCACAGGAGGCATCTTTGGCAGCAAAACAAGCAGCAGAGGCTCTCCCAGATTCAATGGCACCATTTACTGAGTATATTCTTGAAGCATCTGCCAATGCAACAGAAGCAGCTCTCAAAGCAGCCCAGGCAGCAAACAATGTATCTACAATAACTCCTGAAAGTTTAAATGCAGCTGCTGCAGCCATGAATGATTCAGCTATAGCGTCAGAAGAAGCCCTCAGAGCCGTGTTGGCTGCACTGCAACAAACAACCGTTCAACCAGTTGATGCAAAAACATTAAAAGATGCTTTAATCGCATTTGAAATAGCATCAAATCTGGTTGGAAAAGCAACACCAGAAGCGAAGACTGCAGTAGATAAGGCAGCTGCTTCTATCAAAGCAGCAACTCCAGATGAAGCAGAGCAACTGGGGAATGAAGCAATTGCCTCAGCGAGAGAATCCTTAAAATCAGCTTACAGAGGTGTCAGTTTGGCCAACACAATATCAGGGCTCACGCCGTCTATGAAAGACTCAACAATAAGAACCACGACATCAGCAGCAGCCTCAGCTGCAGCCGCTGCAGCATCAACTGCAGCCGCTGCAGCAGCCTCTATTTCCACTGCTGCAGGAGCAACAGCATCTCCCAAAGCAGAGTTAGCCATGAAAGCAGCAAGGGAAGCAGCTAAGGTAGCAGCC